AATTTAAATTCGTTAAGGTGTTATTTTTGCATAAAGCTTCAGCCAGTGCTTTTCCTCCTGATTCACCTAAGTTATTATATTGTAAATTTAAATTCGTTAAGGTGGTATTTTTACATAAAGCTTCAGCCAATGCTTTTCCTCCTGATTCACCTAAGCTATTATGTTGTAAATTTAAATTCGTTAAGGTGTTATTTTTGCATAAAGCTTCAGCCAGTGCTTTTCCTCCTGATTCACCTAAGTTATTACGTTGTAAATTTAAATTCGTTAAGGTGTTATTTTTGCATAAAGCTTCAGCCAGTATTTTTACTTTTGAATAGCCTAGACCATTCTTACTTAAATCTAAATTAGTTAAGGTAGTATTTGTGCATAAAGCTTCAGACAGTGATTTTACTCCTGATTCACCTAGATTATTCTCATTTAAATCTAAATTAGTTAAGGCGGTATTTTGGAATAAAGTAGCCAGCGCCTTCTCTCCAAATTCATCTAATTTATTATTACTTAAATTTAAATTAGTTAAGGTGATATTTTTGCATAAAGCTTCAGCTAGTGTTTTTATAGCTTTACTGTCAAATCGATTATTCCTTAAATTTAAGCATATAAGGGAAGTGTTTTTATTCAGAGCCTTGGCTAGAGCCATTATTGTATCGTCACCAAGATAGTTGTTTTCTAAATTTAAATTTGTTACTGTGTTGTTATTGCCTAGTGCCCGGAAAATTTCTTGCCCCGCCCCATTACATAGTTTTTTTGAACTTAAATCCAAGCATTTTAAATTAGGATTTGTACATAAAGCTTCAGCTAGAGCTTCTCCCGCCTCATAACATAGCTTATCATGATTTAAATGCAAATTGCTCAGGTTGGTAATTTTGTAAATGGCATCATTTAATGACAATGTATATGGCTGTAGATCTGTTTAATTGAATAACATGAATTTGTACATAACGATAAATTAATTATTTTAGTGTATTTAAGCGAAATTATGGTTAAAGATATTAAATAGTATGATTAATATTATAGATATTAAATTGAAGAAAAATAGTATACCATTATCAGACAATCTTCTTCGTTTTATTTCATCTTATAAATATAATGCAGGTAATGCCGTAAAATAAGTCAGTAATAATTTGAGATCGATAAAATAAATAT